AAACTGACTATTTGCAGTTGTTGGATGTTTTCTAGAATAGCATTTTTGGCATTTTGCATCTTCTGTGACGTAGTTTCTGCTCATCCTAGACACGTTTGATTCTGTTGACATTTGTCACAAATAGATTCGAGGTGAAAGTAAGCACAGTGTTTACATCAATTAAATTAATCTTTTGTATATTTTTTTTCTATTTTGGTCATATATATTTTCAGTTTTCCTTTTCCTTTTAACACAGAAATTGTTAAATGCATGAATCTTTTACCGTCTTTTAGATTCTACCATTCATATTTTTCTTTTGAACAATTATTACCAGGATATTGAGATGAACAACAGAAAAATCGAAATGCATAGAGGTAATGGAGTTTTTGATTCTTGTAAATGGAAGGATTTGAAAGTTGGAGACATAGTGAAGGTGCAGAAGGATGAATTTTTCCCTGCTGATCTTATCTTGCTTTCATCAAATTATGAAGAAGCAATTTGCTATGTTGAGACCACGAATCTTGATGGAGAGACCAATTTGAAACTAAAACAAGCATTAGATGCAACTTTTACCCTGCACGAAGACTCTAGCTTCCAAGACTTCAAGGCTGTGATTAGATGTGAGGACCCAAATGCAAATTTGTACACATTTGTTGGCAGTTTGGAGCTAGGAGAGCATAGTTACCCGCTTACACCTCAGCATCTTCTGCTTAGGGATTCAAAGTTGCGAAACACAGATTATATTTATGGTGTGGTAATCTTTACTGGTCATGATACAAAGGTCATTCAAAATTCAACAGCACCGCCTTCAAAGAGAAGCAAGATTGAAAGGAGGATGGATAAGATTGTCTACTTTTTGTTTTTTATAGTAGTCTCTATGTCCATTATTGGATCAATTTTCTTTGGGATTGACACAAGGGAAGATATGGAGAACGGAAGGATGACAAGATGGTATCTTAGACCAGATGCCACTACGACGTCCTATGATCCAAAGAGAGCAACAATTGCATCAATGTTGCAATTTTTGACTGCACTCATGCTGTATTCATATTTAATTCCAATTTCCTTGTATGTCTCCATAGAAATTGTTAAAGTTCTTCAGAGCATATTCATCAACCAAGATTTGCATATGTACCATCAAGAAACTGACACGCCAGCAAGGGCCCGTACGTCAAACTTGAACGAAGAACTTGGTCATGTTGACACAATACTCTCGGACAAAACTGGAACTTTGACTTGTAATTCAATGGAATTTATAAAGTGTTCAGTGGCTGGGACATCTTATGGCTGTGGAGTGACCGAAGTTGAGCAAGCTCTGGCCTGGAAAAAAGGTTCACCTTTAATTCAAGAGGTGACAGCAGAACAGGGCCTTGCTGTAGAGGCTACAGAAGAAAAAACTAAAGGATTTAACTTTGTGGATGAGAGAATTGTCAATGGTAATTGGGTTAAGAAACCCCGTGCAGATGTAATCCAGAAGTTTCTACAATTACTGGCTATCTGCCACACAGCATTACCCGAAGTTGATGACGAAACTGGAATAATTTCGTATGAAGCTGAATCACCAGATGAGGCAGCTTTTGTAATTGCAGCAAGAGAGCTTGGGTTTGAATTTTTTGAGAGAACTCAAACAAGCATTTCTCTACATGAGTTAGATCCGGTCTCTGGTCAGAAACTAAAAAGGTCAGTCTATCTTGTATTAGCTGTAGTGCATACACATTCACCCATTATCCAACTTCAGCTCTGCTAGCAAACTGATATACTTTCTGTTTCAATGGAAAGTAACTTAACCTTTTCCATTTTTTTTCCAGATCTTATAAGCTTCTGAATATCTTGGAATTTAGTAGCTCAAGAAAGCGGATGTCTGTGATTGTAAGAAATGAGGCAGGAAAGCTTCTACTGCTTTGTAAAGGTGCTGACAGGTTTGTGATTGGAACATTACTTGTACTATTTTAGAATTATTAAGTTATGGCCTTAATTACTGTGCAAGAACTACTCCCTATTCATTTAGGAAAGAGCAATATGAATAGGTCTTTGCCTAGCTGATATGATATCACGTTATTCATTTCATTTCAAAAGAAAATTTGTATGCTAAAGCAATTATAATGATTTTTATTTCCTCTCTGGGATCAGTGTCATGTTTGAAAGACTTGCAAATAATGGAAGACAGTTTGAAGAGGAGACCAAGGAGCATATAAGTGAGTATGCTGATGCGGGTTTGAGAACGTTGGTACTTGCATATCGCGAACTGGGTGAGGAAGAGTACAATAAGTTTAATCAGGAATTCTTGAAGGCCAAGAACTCAGTCAGTGCAGATCGAGAGGAAATGGTTGAGGAAGTCGCTGGAAAAATTGAGAAGGATTTTGTTCTACTTGGTGCTACAGCTGTTGAGGACAAACTTCAAAATGGGGTAGGTTTAAAAGCATTCAAATGACTTTGCTCGGATAGAATAAAAAAAAAAAAACCTAGCTACTCTATAAGAGCATCTATAAATATCTATAAATCAGTAGTTGCCCCTGCAAGAGCTCATTTCATGAGAGAAAACAATCAAAATGCTGTAAAAGGAGACAGTAGTAAAAAAGTGCCTTTAGATGAAATATTCGTTAGCCATCATGGCCAACTTTGGATAATATAGATTGCATTTTTAGAGATCGAGGCTAAGGTGCAAATTAAATATTTTCTTCTCTTTGCATACAACAGGTTCCTGCCTGCATTGATAAACTTGCGCAAGCTGGAATTAAAATATGGGTGTTGACTGGAGATAAGATGGAGACAGCGATAAACATTGGGTATGAATTTTATGAATAACAGATGCAACTTTTCGTAATGATTAACGGAAATGCTTTACACTAACATTTCTGACTTTTTTTAATTTCAGCTTTGCTTGTAGTTTGCTTCGACAAGGAATGAAGCAGATAATAATCAACTCGGAGACACCAGAGAGTAAGGCACTAGAGAAAGTGGAGGACAAGACTGCTGCTGCAATGGTAATTCCTGACTTCATATGATGGCTTTCCAATTCAAAATTTTTGGTTTATTGCTGGTATCTACTTCCCGAGTATTCACAATATAAATCTCATGATCTTTAGGTGGTGAAATGAACACTATTGTCTGATTCTGAAAAGCATTACCTTGTTTCATCTCCTAAAGCATCTCAGACTAAATAAACTTGGTTAAATTGATTTTTCTTGCTATATAATTGATTGCATTTTTTATGATCTATTAACGTATTACCTAGATGAGTAATGAGTATGATTGATATCTTGTTTGATTCTGTAGGCTTCTAAAGCAAGTGTCATCCGTCAGATAACGGAAGGGAGGGCACGACTCTCTGTATCAAATGAAAGCTCTGAGGCATTGGCTTTGATTATTGATGGGAAATCTCTCACCTACGCCTTACAAGATGATGTCAAGGACATGTTCTTGGAGCTTGCTGTAGGGTGCGCATCTGTCATTTGCTGCCGCTCATCTCCTAAACAGAAAGCACTTGTAAGTTCTGTCGTTTATTTAGTAGGCTATCTCATAGTTTATCTCCGTCCCCATTATCTCTACTTTATAGTTCTTTTAGAAAAAAATTCAAATAAGGTTTTTACAAGCTTCGAATTTGCAGGTCACAAGACTTGTTAAAACCAAAACAGGTAGCACAATTTTGGCGATTGGTGATGGGGCAAACGACGTGGGTATGCTTCAAGAAGCAGACATTGGAGTTGGTATTAGTGGTGTGGAAGGAATGCAGGTAATTTCTCTCAAGTTTTTTTCTTGTATCATGAGTAAATCTCATATTTGGATCTATCTTGCTTTTGGGTCCCTAGCTCTTCCTGCTAATTATATTTTCCCGTAATTTTAGGCTGTCATGTCAAGCGACATTTCAATTGCACAGTTTCGATTTTTGGAGCGATTGATACTTGTGCATGGACATTGGTGTTATAGAAGGATAACATCCATGGTAAAAATTAATCTTGAAAATATCAAATTCCAATCTTCTGTGGTGCATAGTAAACCATAACGTGAATATAAACTGTTTTCCTTGTTTGGCAGATATGTTATTTCTTCTACAAGAACATTGCATTTGGTTTCACTCTCTTCTTTTTCGAGATGTATGCATCGTTCTCCGGGCAAGCTTTATATAATGACTGGTTTCTATCACTTTATAACGTATTTTTCACATCGCTTCCTGTGATTGCTCTCGGAGTGTTTGACCAAGATGTCTCCACTCGATACTGTCTGAAGGTAGCTTTCTTGTTCTTTAAGTCTTCTCTCTTTTTTTTTTTTTTTAACAATTTATTTTGAATTTGATTTAAACTTTAAATTGTTTTGGCTCTTCGATGTTACAGTTCCCGTTGTTATATCAAGAAGGTGTACAGAATGTTCTATTCAGCTGGAAACGTATCTTTGGCTGGGCATTCAATGGTGTATTAACTGCTACCATTATCTTCTTCTTCTGCATATTTGCAATGGAGAGCCAAGCTTTTCGAAAAGGCGGGGAAATTGCAGGCCTAGAGGTTCTTGCAGCCACCATGTACACATGTGTCGTATGGGTCGTGAACTGCCAAATGGCACTATCCATCAGCTATTTTACCTATGTCCAGCACCTATTCATCTGGGGAGGCATTATACTCTGGTATATATTCCTCTTGGCCTATGGAGCCATGGATTCTTCCATATCAACAACCGCGTACAAGGTCTTCATTGAAGCCTGTGCACCCGCACCATCTTACTGGCTTCTCTGTGTCCTCGTACTAATCTCCGCACTCCTTCCATATTTCATCTACTCCGCCATCCAGATGCGGTTCTTCCCACTTTATCATCAGATGATACAGTGGATGAGACTAGATGGGCAACTGGATGATCCTGAGTACTGTCACATTGTACGCCAGAGATCCTTGCGGCATACAACAGTAGGTTACACAGCCCGATTCGAAGCTAAATCAAGAAGCCAGAGGTCTGAACATTAAACATTCATCATACTATATATATATATATATATATGTAAACATATATTCCTTTGTCTTGTTGTGTAGATCCATCTCAGAAAGCTGTAGCTAGGTTGAAATAGATGAGTGTATCTAGATGTACATACATATTTATATACACAAAAAGAAAGTCTTTCATATATTTACTGTGAAGGAAACTTAAGCAGGCAGTGTGTTAGGAGGGTTTTGTATTTGTTAAGTTGGGGCTTTGAAATTTTGGTAGGATTGAGTCAATATAGAATTTTACAATGAATTTGTACTCCATGATGTATAATTATTAGTATTTACAGAAATGGAATTCCATTCATTTGCGTTTCTATAAGAATATCAGTGGCATTGTTTATATTTGTTGTGTAGTTTTATTTCATTGGAGGCCTATTTCGAAATAATAATTTATAAATTTTTTATTCAAAGTTCATGCTCGGGTGTTAGAAGAGAGAGCAGCAGAGTGCTCGATCCAAGGGATTTATTTAATTAAAATTAATTGAATTATTATTGCTTGTTGAATGAGCCTCCTTAGCTTGGTTCGATTCTTCTTCAGCGAAGATACTTAATGGTTTTTGAATGTTTGGTTACTGAGAAAATGCATGAGAAATAGGCTAAAAGAGAAGCAAAATGTCTATCAATAAGCGCACAGATGATAATCAGAATACTGAAGATAAAGATTTAGAGAAAGGAATCAATCAAAAAAGCTACTTGAAAAACAGAGGTTCAGAATAAAAAATGTAGGTATTTTTCCCGAATGCTAAATATTAAAAAATTCATATTTTCTTTAATTTTATTGTCTATGAAAAATTAAATGTCTAATTTAATTAGTTTTGATAAGATCGTATCTATGACATATATTACTAATCTTTATATAGAAAACAACTACGCCACTTTAAAATATTAATGACGGACTAAATCATCTAATCTCTGGTTCAATAAAAGGGAATGCATCATCAAGACCTTTGCTTCAGTTATCAAACCTACAACAATTAGCCTTGTTCTCTGCTTAGTAGTTAGTGGTTTAGGATTGGCGTACTAAACAAGTCTTCTTCAAGTGCTTTTGGGTTTCACTTGGATCTCTTTGTCTATACATTCAAACATTCTCTAACTTCAAATTTAGTAATACCCATAAAAGTTCTTAGAAAAGAACGAAAGTTGATCTTAGTGATCCAATGGTGCCAAAAAGACTGTTGTTCAATGAATAAAAATTACTATAAGAATAATAAACTGATCTTTCCTAAAAATTTATATCGACGGAAACGTTTACCATCTCGATGTCGGCTTTTCAGCACCTGAGACTGTAATAAATTTTAAGAGATAGATTGTTCGTTTATTAAAACGTATATGTTAAGTTCAGAATATCGTGAGATAATTCGATTCATATCTGTTGCGGATATTAAAACATTAAAATAACATATGATCTACATTTAAAATTTAACAGTTTTCTCTTATGTGGTAATTAAAGAAATGTTTTAATTACAAACCTTAATAAATATCGGTTTGATACGTATAAATACTCTTTTTGCAATAGTTGAACAAACAACACAGATAAACTTAGATGGATTTTCCGTTGGTCAGCCTCCTCTTTGCCTTCCTCCTTACCATTGCAACACATAGAACCGCAGCAAAAAATGCAACCTTCGGCCAAAATTATTTTATTTTGTACCGACGTGATAATATTATAGTTGACGAAGATGGAAGACAAGCTCATCTTTCTCTATACAAAACTGGAGTTTCCTTCCCTTTCACTTTCTTATTTTGTTTTCTTTCTGCAACAGTACATACACGCATCATATAGATACATAAATTTCTATTAGCACGAGCGTTTTGTAAACTTAATTTAGTGTATTTTGTTGTGCCATAACATAGGAGTCGCATTTGCATCTAGAACAAGTTATGGTTCGGGATTTTTTCATATGGTAATAAAAACATCAGAAAATCCGTCTCCAGGAGTTGTCACATTTTTTTATGTAAAATTTTTATCATTTTACTTCGCAATCAAACTTCTATGATTTTGTTTCACGCACCAATTCGAATTTCATGTAACCAATATCTAAAATTGCAGGCAGCTTCGAACCCCTACGAGGGGAAATGTACCACAAGATGAGCTTTACTTTTTACGATCTTAGGCAGCAATGGACCTCCATTCGTGCTGCAAACAGACGTGTATGCAAATGATTTTGGAGGTAGGAAGGAGAGAATCAACCTCTGGTTTGATCCATCAAAGGACTTCCGTAGATATTCCTATATTATGGAACATTCGTCAAATAGTGTAAGCACGATAACTCATTAAAATTCAAATTAAAATTACCATTTCATCATGTTTATAAAGTGTTTTTAATTCAAATAATATGAAAATTTTCATTCAAATAGTACAAGCACAATAACCCATTAAAATTCAACTATAGAATTTAGCTTTTCTTCATGTTTATAAGGTGCTTCTAATTCAAATGATGTGAAAATTTTCAGTTGAATAGTGTAAGCACCATAATCCATTAAAATTCAACTATAGAATTAGTCTGTCATCATGTTTACGAGGTGGTTTTAATCCAGATAATGTGAAACAGTTCAGTCAAGTAGTGTAAACACAATAACCCATTAAAATTCAACTGTAGAATTGGCCTTTCATCATGTTTGCAAGGTGTTTTCAACTCAAATAATGTGAAAAGTTTCAGTCAAATAGTGTAAGCACAATAACTCATTGAAATTCAACTATTAGGATTAACCTTTAATCACATTTTAAAGGTGCATTTAATTCAAATAATGTGGAAAATTTCAGGTTTTTTTGTGGATAATGTGCCTGTAAGAGTGTACGAGAACAAGAAGAGGTTTGGTGCAAGATACCCAGAACAACCATTGTTTACTGGAGGAATCATATGGAATGGAGAACCCTGGGCTAATGGCACTAAAATTGATTGGTCCAAGGCACCATTTCAAGCTCATTTTAAAAAGATTTGGTATTTAAAATGGCTGCATGAGAGGAGACAATTGCAATTCACCCAAGTTTCCATGGAACAACCAGAGTTACTGGCAGCTAAATCCTCTGCAAAAGCAGACTTACGAGGATGTGAGGAAGAAGTACTTGACTCATGATTATTGTTCATTTGATCAGAAACGGGTCTTCAGAGAATCCCATTTTTAGAGTTCAATTACAATTTGTATAACAACATTCATGACTTACTAATAAATTAATAACTTTTTACTAATAAATTCTTGAAATAACTATATTAGACAGGTTTTAATCTGTATAACAACAAAGAGAGATGTTGAGATTAAAGATCATCTTTCTTTTTATACATGAATAACTGGTCATTGGAATACAGTTTATTGAATTCCAATTACAAAACAATCTTCCCCATTAACGGTTAAACAAAAGGAAAAAAAGAAATCAAAATGATGAAGAATTACCTAAAAGATTAGCAAATCAAACACAATTAATTGTTAATAATCAATATTAGCAATGAATAATTGAATTTCCTAAAATTTTCTTTTTCTTTTTTTTTTTTTATTTTTATTTTTTCTCAACGTACCGTAAAGAGAATCTTCCGATCACGAGAAGTGAAAGCCAAAGAACTCGTATGCGGATTTCGCCATTACAGAAGCGAATTCATTGAAGCTAATCACACCATCACCATCCGTGTCAGCCTCCGTAATCATTTCTCTCAGCTCTTTATACGTCAATGGCTGTCCCATCTTCGCCATCGCGCCAGCCAACTCCGCCGCGCTGATATATCCATTACTGTCACGATCGAAGGATCGAAACACCTCCATGAGCTGCTCCTGTTTAATCAGCACCTCCTCGTTCATATCCGGCAAAATTGCGGTAACAAGCTCGTCGAACTCAACGGCGCCATTGCCGTTAGAGTCCATATTAGCAAGGAGGACATGGATTTGGTCGCCGGAAGGCTTGATTCCGATAGATCTCAACAATGCCGCGAGTTCCAAAATCGTAAGGCTTCCATCGGAATCCATGTCGAAGCGATCAAAAATGTCGCGTAATTGACTCAGCTGATCCTGCTCCTCGAACTCTCCCATGGTCTTGATGATTATTACTATCAGCTAACACATCAATGGAGTATGCCACGATCGATCTCCACAAATCCAGAAACACAAAAAGGATAAAAACATTACAGTTAATTCATGGGTTAAGAAGTTGATGAAAGAAATGATTGAATGGAAAATGAAGAATGTAATTTGGTTTTGTTCAGAGCTGTTTGGATCTTTTTTCATTC